CATGAGGGATTAATACATTTCTTTCTAATTGAGTGATATGATGGTGATTAAGATAGAACAGGTCAGGCAGAGTTTAAAAAGATCATTTGATTCTTTGATTGAATAAAGATGAAGTTTTTTCAACAGCTGTCAACATTTTCTGTTAATTTCGTTTAAATATGTGCGCTCTCGCTGATTCTTTTTAAGAGCTCCATAATCAGCAAATCTAATAAAAAATGAAAACGGGGACGATACAAAAACTGGAAAGAAAAAAAGAAAAAGGCTTGATCCCGTTCTGCTGACATGTCAGACCTTGTTATTAAGAGAAGATAAACTCTCTTTTAAATTCTTCACACTCGGCTTTATTAGTTTAGCAGACTTCAAAATCTACATGAGTGAGCTGCTGCTGTTTAAGAAAACAGGTCAACTCCAGATGAGAGTTATGCTTTTATAGCCTGTGTGCGTTTCATAACTAAGAAGTGACACATGTTTGCTGCTTTGCAACAAGAAACCAATAAGAAAACACTGACTATGGAATCTGGGGAAGAGTGGATAAATACATTTTCAGGACAGACTGATCACTAACAATCACAGAAATCCGATCTGGTAAATGACGAAGAATAAGGCAGTAAGAAGCTGAATTAAAGACAAACTTTGCTTGTGTTTCAAAGACACAGAAACACAAAGCAGGCCTGTTCCCTGTCACAGTAATCTAATAACGCAGACATCAGCCTCAGACTGTCAGAAAAGTTGACTTGCTCTTTTCAACACTGATTTTCTGTGACTTGTGAGGAAGACCGAGGTAAGCTGTCAGCAGAGAGGCCAAAGGATCAGAGAGAGAGAGAGAGAGATGTGTTTGCTGAACTGGCCAAAGTGTGCTAACAACATATGGATCCAAAGTTTACCCTGAAATCAAGTCAATCTAAACTCTGAAGTCAATCTGACAAAGCTCTGGCTTTAACTGTTTGGTCAGGGCTCTTCCCTCTCCCCCCTGACTGATTGAAATTCACATGATTTGGGAACATTTTACTCTATTTTATAAGGGGCATTGTTTAATTAAGTAACGCAGGTTGCTCAGGTAAAAACACAGGAAGTACAGCACAGTGATTGCAAATGTGCTGGTTAGAAAACTAGGACATGCTTAAAAAGGTGTGTAAGTTTAAACTGCAGGATGTAAACACAAACAGAACTCTCGCTATAAAATAAAATCAAGAACAATAGTGACAGAAAAAGACATTTTTAATTGCTCTCATGCCGGACAGTCCAAATGATCATCCCTGCATGTGGAGGAGGAGTAAACAAAACCGCGACTCACCCAGAATATCAAGCTGAGGAAGAGGAGGACGGTCTTGGAGGTGAAAATCCCGCAATCCATGTTGTTGTCTGTATTTGGCTGAGCTGAGGAGATTGAAGGAGCTGTGTCTGTGAAGTCCTGGTTTTATCTTTAGTGCAGAGCCGAGCTGCTGCTGCTGCTGCTGCTGCTGCTGCTGTGTGGTCACAAGTTTCCCCAATGTGTCTGTCTGGCTGCAGGGAGAGTCTGCGCTCACACGGTCACATGCTTTCGGGGAGGAGAGCGATGTTACGGAACAGGTCGTACAGCCTTCCTGCCCCCCCACCCCACTTTCCATCACGCATCACTCACTCACGGCAGAGGAGGGGGGAAACCGAAACCCATGAACGTTGATAAAAAAAGACAAGTCATAATTACCCAGACATATCCATAGGCCTATATTTTGTTTACTCTTTTTTTTGTGTGTGTATGAAAACAGTTACGTTTTTGTTGTTTTATTAACGCTGATAATGAATTGATTTCACTCCTTTCCTCAAGATCTTGAAAAGTGAAATAATTCTCACACAAGAATTAGAGTTGTTATCTCGAGATACCAACATAAATAAGTGGAGATTTTTTTATTTTTTTATTTTTTTTATTTTTATCTTTTAAGAAATTCCCACTGTGACATCACAAGGAGAGCAAATTTAATACTGAGCATTTTTCTCTTTGTTGTAAGACATACAAAGGACTGGATGGGTTTATTTCATATGTTTTGGGTCAGTACACACTCAGGTTACCCAAATATATGTTCAAAAACACTGTAAAAGTGTTTTCATAATATGTCTGATAATATATTTAAATTAAAAGGGGAAATGTAGGCCTACTCGTTTTAACAGGAAAACTATGTACGATAAATCATCTGGATAAATGTCCACTTAGGGCTTCCATACATGGAAACAGTCGAAGTGAGGCCATTTCAAATATATTTCTTAACCATTTTTATTATTTTACTTGCTTATTAGATCTACTTTGAAAACAAAATCACATCTTTAATATGGAAGTGGACATACATCCATACTTGTTACTTGACTCTGTTGTCCCCTGATGATGAGTAACTTCTGGTTAAGATTCCTCTTCATTTATGTCGTCATCTCGGGATTACAACACTGACTTTCTCAGGAAAGATGAGTTCACTTCACGAAATCTTGAAAAGACAAGATTAAAAAAGTCAAGAACTTTTATTTCTTGCTGATTCGGCTCTGGACATCGTGTTTTCTGACAAAAAGTGTAATCCTGCTTCCTTTAAAAAGTCCGACATACCGCTCACTATGAATCTTTGAAGTGGAAAATGTAAACACATGTTGTTTAGACAGGCTACTGATTAATTCTTATCATCTGCCCCGCAGTAAAGAGCTGACTGCCTTTAAAATAACTGTATAGAGATGATGGTCTGGTTGGTTTCTGTAAGTCATATAAAAGGCATCTGTATTCATTTTAGTCTGTTTTATAAATAGCTAAAAACCCCTCAGAGGAGCTTTAAAATGACACTTTGACACAAACAAAGAGAGGAACCAACAAGAACCCACGAACTGTTTCACTTATCGCTGGGGAAGTACAGTTTTTGATATATTATATGTCAGGCACAGATTTAAAAGAAATCCAAGCTGTGTTAAAAAAAGAAGAAGGTAAGGGACGCTGGTAGTGCACACATCCCAAGTGCAGAGGCTAGAGACATCTGTCATTCCTCTCTCTCTCTCTCTCTCTCTCTCTCTCTCTCGGATGGAGGCCTAAAAAGGTAACAGGAAGTAACACTTAAGCAAGGTGTTTGAGTGTGTTAAAAGAAACAATTCAGATACTTTTTTAATTGGTGTCAAACACACAGCTCAATGATTTGTTACTTCAAAATAAAGGTTTATGTATAAAAAAAGGTCACTGTCAGACCAGCTGCAACTTTACTGAAACTATTGTTACTCACCCGGTTGTAATGTGTACTCTGTGTGTGTATGTGTGTGTGTGTGTTTATGTATTGAGTAACAGCGGGGAGGTGATATCAGTTCACTACAGAAGGCAGCGAAGGACAATCTCTCTCTCTCTCTCTCTCTCTCTCTTTCTCACAAACACTCGTCAATGACACTTTGGTGTGTCTTTAACTTATCTCAAGAATAAAGAAAGAAGAATGTGAAAGATGTTGGTAGTAATGTTTGGTAGTGTTTTCAAATCAAGACCAAACATTTATTTTTCCATCTTAGTGTCATTAGCGATTTAAAGTGCTTTAAAGGCACAATCCGTGAATGATAAGGGTTGATGTTGAAGTTTGTGTTTACTATTGTTAAAGATTTTTATCACACACATACATTCATTCAAACAATGTGAGAAACAAAAAGCAGATGAGGTCTTTTTTAATTAAATACACTTCACCTGTAATGCGATCAGAGTGCAATGACTAAATGAGAGTGCAATGACTGTTCTTGCACTGATATAACACCAAGAGGGAAACAAAGAAATCATACAGAGAAAATATAATTTTATATATTTCATCTGATGCAACTTCAGATTTAAAAATTATGCTAATATACTAAATGCACCACAAACTGAAGTAAGACACCGGTTCAAGTCCTGATGCGGACCATAATATGGAAGTTGTTCTGGTAGCTGGAGAGGTGCCCGAGCACTGCCGAGGTGCCCTTGAGCAAGGCACCAAACCCTCAACTGCTCTGGTGCGCTCCCTGCTTAGCTTTGTGTAGCAGCCCCACTCTGACATCTGTCCAATATGCATTTCCATACATCCTGTTTGTGCATGTGTGTGAGAAGCATGCCTCTCAATAACAGAGTGTAAACCTGAAGTTCCCTCAGAAGTCTGTGAACAAGAAAAGTTGAATATTCAGTGCAGTTTGAAGCCAAAGCTTCCTCAGAGTTCTTTAGGGAATCATGCAGCACTAAAATGTTTTAAATAATTACTTTATAAAGACTTTTTTTACCTATATTGATCTGGATAAATGGCACACTGATGGAAAAAAAAATTAAATAATCTAAAAGTCGTTTCTCTTGGTGCCTCTCCATGTAGGCTGATAACTCTCCAACTGGCTGAGGTCCAACTCCCTCCACAGAGAGGACACATACAGGAACCTTCTGTAATTCTTTAACTTTAAAACATAAGACAAACAACTCTATTCTGTGTTATTTCACCTTTTCCAGCTGATGGTTGCATTAAAACTGTCCTGTGTATGCATTTCAGAGATTTAAATCTATGCTGAGTTCACTCTATGATGGGTCTGCAAGAAGACTGTGCTTCTTTGATCTTCCTAAAATTAATTTAATCAGCATTAAAGGCTGAAACTAAACCCAGTTTTGGGGCAAGTCAATGAGCCACTTTGTATTTAAAGCTTATTCAGTGATAAAAGTATGTTCCTTATCTTTTAGACTGCCGACATTTGTTAAAATGTTCAAAATACACGTCTCATATTGTGCTTCACAAGTGCTACATTTGAATGATCAGAGAAACTTGAGGAGATTTGGTTTAATTTGCTAAATAAAATATATGTTTTTATACAATAAAGATCATGCTGATTCTTGTGGTGGGTGTTTTATGTGGATTTTTAACATTTTAGGCACCTTTTTTATCGAAATATTCAGCTGGAGAAAACACAAACTTTATCAGGTTTGTGGTGGAGACAAGGAGTGTGCTTGTAGGGAGGCTGGCTCTACACGGTTCTCATCAGGTCTTCATTAAGCCAAGACCTGCCAAGAGGGCAAACAGAGATATCACTCTGTCCCTTATCTCTGTGAGCCTCATACTCCTGACCCTGACACTATGTCTTCTGCTGTGACTGCAGTGCCTGTTGGGCCTCCTGTGGCCTCGGTCAAATCTCCAAAGAAGAAAGCCACAAAAAAGAAGACAGGCCCCTCAGTGTCAAGCCTGATTCTGAAAGCTGTAGCTGCATCCTCAGATCGTGGAGGGCTCTCCCTGGCAGCCCTGAAGAAAGCTTTGAAGGCTGGAGGATATGACGTGGTGAAGAACAACGCCAGAATCCTTGTCGCCATCAAACGCTTGGTGACCAAAAAGTCTCTGGTCCAAACCAAAGGCAGCGGTGCTTCTGGCTCCTTCAAGTTGAACAAGAAGCCTCCCAAACCCCGCAAGAAGAAGGTGGTGAAAAAGAAGAAGACAAAAGCCAAAAAGGTCAAGAAGGCTGGTGTGAAGAAAGCAGCTGGAAGTGCCACTCCTGCAGCCAAGAAGTCACCTCAGAAAAAGAGGAAGTCAAAGAGTCCTAAAAAGAGTCCTAAGAAGAGTCCCAAAAAGAGTCCTATGAAGGCCAAACGAGCCACCAGGACCAGAGCTGCTGCTGCTGCTGCTGCCAAGAAGTGGAAACTCTCCTAATGAACACTAAGTGCTGAGCAAACGCATTTCCTGGAACATTTAACTTGTTTTTTTTTGTGGACTAAACTTCTACAGTCATTCCAAGAACTTAAGTATGCTTTATATATTTTACAGTTTTTTCTGAAACTTTCTGAATCTGCTGTTAAGACACTCCTCTCCCACATCTCCCTGTTGTTGGCTTGTAAAGACTCGAATTGCAATTGACGGGAAAAATAAAGCTATTTTCATTTAAAAGTGTGTCGTGTGCTTTAAATTCAGTTTTCAATAACAGCTTTGATTAATTGCATATAGCTTTACATAGATTCTTTATTTGACTGGATAAGAACAGGATACAACTCGCCAAACTGTATTCATTATGCTTCAACTGGTGTTTAAATAAATAACGTTCATTAGTGCATTAGTTCTAAATATGACCCGGTCTTTCTGCTCATAAATAGAAGTTGTCTTGGGTTTAAACAATCAAAGAGCTCGGTATTTTATAGATACATCACATAACATTGTGCGTCTCCAAATGGCTTGATCATGTCCTAAACTCACGCTCATTCGGTTACCTACATCTGCATTTACGGCTCACTTTTTAGTGTCCATTAAAAAGGGAGTAGTACACTTGAGAAATATTGGGTACCATCGGACAGCATTTGATTTGCCTGAACCATGAGGGCGCACTGGAACGCACAGGATGTTATGGAGTCGATCTTTTACGCGCCATTACGCACAGGGACTAAGGCGCTCATCACTGTGTGTAAGGTTTACTTTATTTTAGGTTTGTCTTTAGTCGACATGGAAAATGGTCATACAGAATTGCCACACAGAATCATACACGTTTTGTCGTGAATAGACGGATTATTGTGAGGAATTGTCGGGAAGTATCAAGGACAACAACAACAACAGCAACCCTTTACTGGGCTTTGCCAAGTTTTTGTTAGTTTGCGCCTGTATTAAGTAACGACGGTTTTTGGCAGCAGTACACTGGGTTGAACCCATAGTAGAACCAGGCAGGTCTCTAAACTCCAGCTTGTGACACTCCCCAGCTGCCTGCTAAACGCGGCTAATCATAAGTGACAACAGTGAGGCATTCGGGGCGTGACAAGCTGGATTCGTTGGCTGACCCACATGACATGGTTTCAGTGCGGCTCAAGCAATATCGGAGATAAGTTTGGAACAATGAAAGCAGATAACGGAAGTTACTATACATGAGTTTGGTCAAAGGTGACGGTGTGATTTGAAATAATAAAGGAGTCCAATATAAACGATGTGAGAAAACATAAAATAAAACACATCTCAGGACCTTTTATTGCCAAACTGTCAGATGAAGTCCTTCTGCACAGAATCAAGTCACCAGCTTGAGACTTTATCTGATATATTGTTCAATGTTGCCATCTAGTGGCCGGCTTTAGTAACTACATTTAATCAGCTATAGAGGTCTGCTTTCAGGGACGACTGTTTAAAGGGAGGGTTCACCTCAGGTCACTCTTCATCATGATCATATTTCAGTGGATTAAATGGAGTTAAAACGTGGTTCTGTTTATAAAAGACAATGTTCATACACAAAAAAGTGCAAATGACACATTAACCTAAAAAGGCATTTGTATTTGTTTGTAACAAAGCGACTTTAGGAGAAAAAAAAATACTTAGGACTATGCAGGACTGTTGTCTGCATGTAAGAGTTTAAAAGGTGACAAAATAATTAAATCAATGGTTGTTGAGCATGTATTTTTAAAATATTTTGTATTTCAATATGTTATTTTTGCTTTTGTTTTTTTTAATACTCTCTTTGTAGCTATGTAAAGCAGTTCGAGATGCTCTATGTATGAGTGGTGCTCATTAAATAAACCTGGCTTTGACTTAATTGATATCTATGTGATTCTCATGAAACTGGACAGGCGCTGTGATTAGAAACAAGATATTTTACATGAAAATGTAGCTAAAAGATAAACAGTCTATTGGAGAACAGTAATTCAGTATCTTGGTGTCCCCTCAGCTGGACATCTGTAGCAATAGTTAGTAGATATGGTGAAATACACTGTCCCTCTCATCAGATGAACAGCTGTATAGATTCTAAAGAATAACAGCAGATGACTGGCTGAAACCAACTCCACAACAAATCATTTGATTGATTGATTGATTGATTGATTACATTTATTTCAGACATATCAAATAAAATCAAACATATCAAAAATGCACAACAAAATGAAAAGCACAAAAATACAATAAACAAAAAACAATGTTTAAATTATTTCACAAAAAAAGAAAAAGAAAATTACATATATTAAATTGATATGCCTGAAAAGGAGTAGGAAGAAGTATAAAACTTATTTAATCCTACCCCTTTTCCACAGCTCAATAATTAATATTTATTAAATTAATTAACTTCCTGTGTTCCTTATAATCTCTCTATATATACAATCTATCTATATACAATTTGCTATACTATATTTATGATACTATATTTGATATTTACAATCCAATGATTTTCCATACATATATATACAACTTGATATACTATGATTTTTTATAATTTATATATTTATACAATCCATATATTTATATCTATATATACATATCTATTTGTACAATTTGATGTACTATATTTACATTTTATATATTTATACAATCCTTATATCTATACAGTTTGGTACAGTATGTTTACAATTATACATTTGATACAATCTATATCTATATACAATTTGATATAGGCTACTCTATGTACAATTTACATATATATAATACACATTAACATACACCTGTGTATACAAAACTTGTAAACCCTAATATTATTATTGTTATTGTTATTATATTTATTTTATTATTATTATTATTATCATTATTATTCATTTTCCTTCTTAAAGCTCTCCCTCATCCCTCTACCTTTTGAAAATCATTGCTTTGTACATTTTTTTAAACTGGATCATGTTTGGACAATGCTTTAGCTCCGTGCTCAAACCATTCCACAGTTTCACACCACCAATTGAAATGCATTGACTTTTTAAAGTCGTGCGAACAGCTAGCATCTTAAAATTTAACTTTTCCCTCAAATTATAACCCCCCTCTCTGTCAGAAAAAAAGTTTTTGAATATTCCCTGGTAGCAGTTTGTTTCTTGCTTTGAACATGATTTGTGCCACTTGATAGTCAACCAGGTCAATGAACTTTATAGTACGGGGATGTAAAAACAGGAGGTTGGTGTGATCCTGATATCCTGCTTTATTGATTATTCTTATGTCTCGTTTTTGAAGTGTGACTAGTGGTAGCAGTGAGCTTTTGTAAGTGGTCCCCCAGACCTCCACACAGTAATTCAAATAAGGTAAAATCATTGAACAGTAGAGAATATGCAATGATTTGTGATCCAATATATGCTTTGCTTTACCCAGGACTGAGATGCTACATGACCGTTTAGATTTAACATGTTTTATGTGAGGTGTGGAGGCCATTTTAATCATGATAACTTTAGTTTCAGAAGTATGGTTTAAGTTTGTGTTAATAGAGTATATTTGTTGTGTTGTAAGAAATAAGTATTAATTTATGAGAAGTACTTGATTTGACATGGAAACCTTTATGGTGAATAAAGGATTTATTTGGGCATATTTTGGCAGGTATTTTGTGTTATGGGTGGAGCCGAGTTAAGGTGGAGCCGAGTTAAGGTGGAGTCGAGTTAATTAATTTGGGTGCGATACACAGGTGGAGAGAAAAAAGGTAGATTGTTTTGTTTGTGGACGGTGGTGGAGGTTTAGGAGCCAAGCAGCAAATGTTTTTTGATCGTGACCTTTTGTTTTGAGTTTTGATATATTCATTTTGGATCTGTTCTGTATACAAGTGGCATTACGAATAAAATAAGAAATCAAGTGAAACAACTGTGAGTATATTAAAGTGGACACACATCAGGAACGAACAGGTTGGCTCCTATGACACAAGTGACAATTTTTACATGACATACAAGAAGAAATTGTCACTACATGAGGTTTCCAGCAGAGCTTTTGGTCTATTGTCACACCTAGGAATTTATTTACATACACTCTTTCAATATTAACACCATCTATCTTAACATTTACGTCATTATTTAAATTACAATTTCCAAACAACATGATTTTTGTTTTGCTTAAATTCAATGATAATTTATTATTGTCAAACCACCTTTTTAATTTGCTAATTTCAGATGTAATTAATTCCAGAAACTGCTGCAAATCCTCTCCCGTACAAAAAATATTTGTGTCATCTGCAAATAACACAAATTGTAGAATATTTGAGGTTTTACATATATCATTTATGTAGAGAATAAAAAGAATTGGGCCCAACACTGACCCCTGGGGGACACCACAAGCAATGTCCAAACAAGATGACGTGTATTCACCCAACTTCACAAACTGTTGCCTGTTATGTAGATAGCTCCTCAGCCAGTATACAATCCCCCTGATACCATACCATTCTAATTTATTAATTTATCTGTCGTGATTTATTGTATCAAATGCTTTTTTGAGATCACTAAAAACACCAGCTGCATAATTCTTCTGGTCCAGGGAATTTGGGATTTTTTCAATTAGCTCAATGACTGCTAATGAAGTGGATCTGTTGGGTCTGAATCCATATTGGCTGTCAGTTAGTAAGTTGTGTTTATTGATAAATTTGTTTGGTCTGTCAGCAAAGTGTTTGTCTCCAGTTTTGTACAGCGGTATGACTTTTGCAATTTTCTTGTGAATTTACCATTTTTAAATGATAAGTTACAGATGTGCGTTAGTGGTTTTGCAGTTCCCTGAATGACCTGTTTAACTATTCTCATGTCAATGTCATTATAGTCAGTAGAAGTTTTGTTTTTACATTTATGAACAATCTCTATAATTTCACTCTCTTCTACTGCTGTTAGAAACATTGATTTTGGATTAATGTCTATGAAATCATAATTCTTTTTTCAGCCAGTATTGGTCCAACATTTACAAAATAATTATTGAAGCCATTAACGGCAACATCCATATAATCAATAGTCATATCATTATCAATAAAGTCATGTGGATATTTAACTTGTCTAGAACCATTTCCAATAACAGTATTTAATATATTCCATAAACCTTTAATATTGTTTTTATTTTTATCAAATCATTTGCTGTAATATTCTTTCCTGCTGTTTCTCATTACATTAGTTAGCTTATTTTTATATTTCTTATATTTATTTTCTGCATCTTTGGTTCTAAGTTTTATGAATTCTTTATATAGTGTATTTTTCTTTTTGCAGGCATTTTGTAAT